ACACACATATATATATACATATACATATATTGTGTGTGTGTGTGTGTGTCTTTCCAAGATATGTCTCTATCTTTCCAGGCCACTCACACAGCGACGCACCTCCTCCCACCGGGCTTCCCCTCCCGACATCACACCCAGCTATAAACCCACCAGGGCGCTGATCCAGTTCCCACACCCGCGATCCAGTCACCTCCCAAAAGCCCCACCCAGACCAAACCGTGGGACAAACCGCCCGCATTGAATATGCACAAGTTGCTCTCTTTTTTTTTTTTCCAATCGTTGAGTTTATTGGCACGCGTTAGGGATACAGTACGGTTACACTCATCGCTGGGACCCTGTGCCTCCACATGACAGGTCCTGGCTCTCATTTTTCCCCTTCTCCCTGGCCTCCCTTCACCCCTCCTCCCCTCCCCTGAGCTGTTCTCTTGTCCTTCCTGAAGAAAGCAGCAGCACTCCCCACACCTCCGCGGTCTCTGGTGAGATTAGTCAGTTTCGAGCCCACAGCCATTCTGCAGATGGAGCTCAGCACGCGTGGATTCGGGTGTCCGAGGCGACTGCGTTCTGCACCTGCATATTCCTGACCCTGCGGTAGGAGGCCGGGGCTGCACAAACGGGACAAGCAACCGAGAGGAATGCACAAAACGCCACAGCCGGCAGACAGGTGAGGCACGGTGTCTCCTAAACGGAGAAGGCACTGGCGCAGCCCGTCACCCTGAGGACTCCGGGCGACTGCTCCGGACAGCCAGAGGCCGCGTGCTCCAGGCCTGGTCCGCATCTGCTGATGGTCGCAGCCCCAGTCCGGCATCTACATGCAGACGCCGGGCCAAAGACTTTCTGACCCTTCGTTTACACCGGGTGGGGAGGGAGAGATTTTGCTTCTGCCGGGAAAAAGACAAGAGTGGGAGGCAACTCTGAAGGCGCGGGTCCTGTTGTCCACCTAAAAGCCGTGACCAGGCCCTGGCCAGGCTGGGCGGACGCGGACGAGCGCGGGGGACCCACGAGGGGGCGCTGCGGGACCAGAAACCGCCAGG